GCGTGACCCACAGTTCTCTCTTGTGCTAACCAAAGACTAATTCTAAAATAAAGCCTCACCCATTTAGAGCTATTCGAATGGTGTCAACTATGGTAAAACTCTCATCTCCAGAGACTGCAGGTATTCATTATTATCCTAAAATTACAAGAAGGTTCAGGCAGAAATATTTAAAGACCACATGGAAGCATAAACAATGTTTATTTTCTCTGGACTGTATGGTTAGTGTTTGGAGTTCTCTGCAAAGGTGATCAGAAGGTGATCTGACTTGATGGACAGCATGTAGGATGCCTCCTGTGATCCTCCACCTGTCGAGCCATGGACCAGTGATTAATGAATCAACAGCATGGGATATTTTTGACCAGAGAAATCCAATGTAATGTACATATAAAAGGGTAGATTCAAAGAGTGCATATACATTGTTAAACTAGGATATTGATGTTATGTTTTTTTGGAGTTTCAACGTTTTTAGGCTTTTTGGTAATTAACAAGACTTCAAGCCCTGGTACTGAGTTAGCAGTTTGGGGTTTGGTCAGTACTCAGGTCCAGATGTCCTATAAAAACCTAGTGGTTCTTAATAGACATTAAAATTGTAAAAGATTTGCCCTGACCCTTCTCTTCAACTTATAACAAATGTAATTTCCTGTTTCCTTTTGTCAGATTTTTTTTTTTACATAATTGCCCTGCTATTTTATCAGAGTCCCAGTTGATCTTTTTCTTCTATTTGCAAGCGTTGTACCATTTCGTATCATTTACCATTGTACTTCTTTCCTGGAAAATCCGTTAGGAAGAAAAATAAATCCCGAGAACTGCTGCTGAAAGTCCTTTGATTTGTTGAAATTGTGACTAAAGATTATATGTTGGAATTACAACACTGAGGGACTTTTTCTGATTATTGGGGAAATAATTACTGTTCTTGGTGAAAGAGAAAACCTTTCAAAGCTTAAATCACTAAAGTTAAATGCCAACACAGAAGTATTTTTTTTAAGTAGTCTGGTGAGGCTGAGGTTGGATTATAAGTACAGTAGCTGTGGCGATAACACTATTTTAAAATACATGCAACACTAGAAAAAGTATGTTTCAGCTTGGAGAATAGCAGCCACCTTGATTATATCTGGGAGTGGGCTTACCAGATGTCCAGTAAAACGAGGACAAATCCTCCTTTTCCTGTCATGTGCTTTGTCCAGCAGATATAATATTGACAAAATCAATATCAGTTTTTTTTAGTGTCTTGGGCTTTTGCGATTTCTTTAAAAAAATTGGGCTGCTTTCACAATGGAATTTTTTATTGTGATCAATTCAGTATTATTGCTAGGATATGTTTTTGAAAATCAAGATTTATTGGAAAAATATTCCAGTTGAAAAAATGCGTAGTCAACTCTACAGCAAACCTGGCTGCAGCCATCTTCCTCATTCTAGGTTGCCACATGAATGGGATGGGGTGCGGAGTATCTTTGCTAGTCTAAACAATTCTGTGTCCTGTGGGAACCAAGGTCATTGTATCGGTTAGTTTAGAGGGTTGGGCGTTTGTTAGAAAGCCTGCCAAACTATTCTATTGGGAATGTGGATTATAGTGGATAGAGTAATTTCATATACCTGTAGGCCTAAGTCAGGTTGTTGTTTTTTGCAGTGTTTCATGGTAGTGTTGATCGTGGAAGCCAAGAAATTTAAACAGTTAATGTGTCTTCCTTTTTTCCCATTTGTCCTTTCCAATTGTCCTCCTTATTCTTTTTCAGATAATCCTTCCTGGGCCAAACCAGACTTCATTAGGACAGTGGGCTCATGTATTTAATTTTGTTTAGAGTTTGAATCTGCAGTAGGAATTCCAGTATGACATTCCAGTTGCAGCAAGATTGAAAGGGTGTTTTTTTCAAAAAAAATGGCACAAAGTCCATCAGTGTACAGCTAGAGAACATCCATGTGGAAAACCCAATGGAGGACATTTAAATATTTGGAGGAATCCCCTGGGGAAGACTTCAGGCAGCTCTCCAAACAAACTGAAAAACAATTTTATTCATCTATTTTGTTTCAATATATAAAACCATCAGTGATGTGGCCAGCCCAAAACTGAGCCTTAAATTTACAAAATTTAAGTTGGAATGTTTTCTGCTCTTTGTGGCTTACACACACAGAGAGAAAGTGAGACTACTGAGCTCCTTGCTTGGTTTCAACTTGACACAATCTGGTTGAGCACACCAAGAAAGTTTGTGAGCAATATCCCCCTTCCTTAGTTTCTCTGTGACCACAGAGAGCCCCTTCAGCTCTCTCCCTTCCGTTTTTCTGTCCCTGAAATTTCCTGCTTGCTTTTTGAAGGTGTGAGTTGCTCCTCTTCACATTTTGGACAAAGCTGGTTGGCAGCTCTTAGTCACCACAGAAGAGACCGAATTCTTAAGACAGAAATGGCAAATGTGCTTTCCACTCAGCTTTCGCCCAAAGGCTCCCGGCCAGGAGAAATAAGATAAAAATCTTGGACCCAAAACTACAGCTACGCACGCTACATTGCCAGGCAGCTTCAGTAGATCAGATGTCACTTAACCTTGGGAGGAGTTGACCCATATTTCCTGTCTCTTGTGTCACTGTCCACTTTTTCATCCTTCCATCTGCAGATGCAGATAGGCCTGATTCTGTCCACTGGTCCAGGTGAGTCAAGGGGGACCTGCCTGCCTGTCGGTCTAGGTAGGTTTAGGTATAGGTAGAATAACAAAAAGGAGAGTGATTTCAGAGAAAGATCCTTTATTCTTCATCAGGTCTAAAGATCCCAAGTAGGAAGATGGATTTGTGCTGGCTGAGCCTTTCTTTCAGAAGCCCTCCTTTCCTCTTGAATTTTCTTTTTCCTTCTCAGATTTCAGTGCCAAATAATTTTAGCATAATGGTACAATTCTCCAGAAAAGAGGCTTTCCTTAGAATTGCTATCTTCATAACATTTCAAATTCAATAGCAGTAGATTGGAGAAATCATTGCTTAATATGTGCTTTTTATTATAAAATCTGAAAATAAATGTATTTTTACAAGCCAGTTCTCATTCTTTAAAAAAAAATAAAAAAATACAGGAGCATTGTCTACAGGGAACAGTTGGGGGATTCCCAGTGATCTAATTATCTAAAATAATGCAATCCTTGTTTTTACAGGTTTTTAAGGAAGCCCTCTTATGAATAGGAAGGCTTCTTCTTCTGATTGAGCATTGGGAAGTGATTTTAGTTGACATGTCAGTTTGGGATTCCTGTAACTTCCCTTCCCTTCCTCAGCTTTGTACTGGAACTATGTCAAAAATCTGCATAGAAAAAAAAAGTAAATTAGAAACAATGTAAAGGGAAAGTTATCTCTATGATATCATTGTACAGTAATGTAGAAAATGTTGGGAACTTTCCTATGGCAATGGGGCACATCATATCTAACACTCCTGTCCTACAGTTTCTGCTATTTTACGCAGTATTTCCAGTTTTCCCCATGGAGAGAATTCCTGTGCACTAAAAAAATGTCTTTCCTTCCTAGTTTTTTCCCAAGTTGCAGGGTCCATTTTTTTCAGATTAGCAAAGTGTTAATCTACTGGTTGTGACAGAAGTTGATTTGCCCAAGTCCACCGTTATGGGCTGAGGAATATTGGCTCAAAGTCACCCATGCAATTTTCATGCCTGACTTGGACTCAAACTCACAGTCTCCTGGTTTCTAGCCCGTTGTCTTAACTACTAGATCAAACTGCCTCTTTCTCTCTTTTTCTTCCTGGTGTTTTTCCTGCAATTGCAGGGTCCACTTTTTTGGGGGGGATCAGCTGAGAGAGTTAATTCGTTGGTTGCAACAGGCACATTTCAGCCCATATGTGAAAGAAGTCCTGGGATTTCTTTGGGACTACTTGGATCCTGAGTAGATATTGTTCCAATCAGCCATGGCAGCTATTGGTGAATGAAGTTCAAGCATGAGAAATAAATGTGATATGGAGAAGACCAAAGCAAAGGTTGCTGCTGCTTATTTTGCAGAAGCAGCAGGATAGTTTAAGGACAGAGAATTGCAGAATTAAGTTCTGTCACACTTTTTCCTCCCTTCCTCCTCCGCCACCCTCGTTTAGTAGGTGATAGTTGGATCACTCAGAGTGGTGACCATCTACATGCAAAGAGCTGTTGAAAAGATGGGTTCAAATAATACCACCGGAAAATCTTAAAGATTATAATCAGTCTACTTGGGCAACAGGAATTGACAGCAACTTGATGTCTCAGAATTAATTAAAATAGTTGCTATTTTCCATCATATTGGAGAGCAGCACTGGCCATCCATTCCAAGGAGAAGAATCATAGTTCTACAACGTTTGCTGAAAATGCAATTCCCAACAGTTCCAATCAGAATTGCCTAAGGTGATAGACGTTGGGAAGTATAGTTCTGTAACAACAGAACTGCCACTGTTCCCCACATTTGCATAAGATTTCAGTGAGTACGTTCTGCTTCAGCATGGTTGATAATATTAGCACTTAAATGTATTTTGATTATCTGCTGCAAAAGGGCATAAGACATGTGAAACTCCTTTCAAAACCAACGGTTGTCTAAAATACTTGGAGATTTTCTTGAATTCAGAGGTACTTAAGCATATGCAACTCTGGAACAGACCTACTGCCAACACAAGTTGCTGCAAATCAGACTTATATCCTGATCACACACTGCTTTCAGCAACCTTTTGCTCTCCAGATGTGTTAGATATTAGCTCTCCTAGTCTTCAGTCATATTTAACCTTGGTGACCAGGAATAATAGTTAACATTTAGCACATCTGGAGGATAGTTTTTCAGAGGAGCTTATTTGACATACCTCTGGTTTCAGTGGGCTTTCTCCAATTATACAGGGCCTTAAAATGTGCTGGTTTGCGTTTTATGATTAGATAGACTGCACAATTCTGCTTTTTCCCCTTCTTAAATGTAGAGATTTGTAAGTTGTCCTTAGCATATTTCTGTTGTAGTATTTCCTCTGTTGCAATTTCTTAACCAACCATAAAATATTATTCCTTTTTTTTTAGGTAGAATAAGAGGAAGAGAACATACAGTAATGGAGTATATGAGTACTGATAGCGAAAATAAGGAAGAAATTGACTTACTGCTGACAGATTTAAATATGTCGGACGTAATTGACATCATGGAGAACCTTTATCCCAAAGGTGACCTGACAATTTACAAAGACAGCCTCATTGCTCTGCATCCGGAAAAGAACAATAATGAGGAACGGACCGAATCTTTGCTGTTCAGCCGAAGAGAAGTTTCTTTGCTTTCGTGTGTCAAGTATGGGACTGTGGAAGATCTACTTGCATTTGCCAATCAGGTGTCAAACACTGCAAAGCAAATATGCCCGCACAGGAGACAAGAATCTGGAATCATATTAAACATGGTATGTGTTTTCTGAAACCTCCATCAGCTATTCTGCATGAATGTATTTCACATGGATCTTGGCTCAGAGCTGTGGTTTTGTAGCTGGATTTTGGAGTCTCCACAATTTAGGTCTAGCTGATAAGATTTTGCTGACCAGCCATTGCTGTCCACAGACATTCCTATACTCTTATCAGGCTGTAAAATATCTAAGTATGGGAGTTAGATATTACTTAATTCCAAAGTGGTGAGATGGTAAACTTTGACTAATAGTCTCAACTACTGCACCTTATTTGAGTGACTTTGGGCCTCTCACACTTTTTCTCATTTCCATGTGTGCCTCAGAGTTACTGCTGTGGAGAAAAGGGAGGGAAAGGTCCTCAGGTTACCACTTGAAGCTCCAGGAGAAAATTATATTGTACAGGAAAATGGATCCTGGACTGAGCTGTGGAGTCTTTAGCTTGGATTTAAGTTTTCTTTTGCAACTATAATGAACAAATCTCGGAGTGCAATACTGTGATTAGCACCTAACTGAGCTTGGCTTTTCTCAAAAAGATAAGCAAGATTGGATTTGATTAATACTTGCTGGGAGGTCAATCCCAGGTTGTAGGTTAGGCTGAACAATCAAAAGGAGGCAATTACAGCCTTCCACATAGTGCCCAAAATTTGACATGGATGTGTCAAATGAAGTTGCCAGGCATTGAGCTTGCTGTGTGAGGCTTTATTGTATGTTGATTTATTTTCTTAAAAAGAGAACTGCATCTATGAACATAAAACTAAAACAGTTTGCCCCTTATTAGGATGTATAAAATTATCTCCCTGTGACACCCTGTATGAAATTACATTGAAGCTGCCTTTCAGTTATTCTGCCTGTCTGCCTGTCTGTCTGTCTGTCTAATTTATATAGCCACCCATCTCATCAAAGTCATCTTTTGTGCATTCCCCAACTTTAAATCTCAGATGTGATGCAATTGAAAATCTCATGTAAAAATACAGATTGAGACAAATATCTAAAATCTGAGCATTAAATGTGTTAGTTAATTAATATACCACCCATCTTCACCAATAAAGACGACTGTAGACAGCATACAAAATGGTAAAAATATAAAAACAGTTTAAATTATTAAAATTATGCAGTTATCTATCAGGTATAGTGGCAGCATTCTCCTTTGTCTCCAAGGATGGCATATTTGTGAGTCCTTATTTATGGTTGCTGTTTTATCAATCCTTGCTCACAGTTGCTATTTGCAACCCTGAGGACTAGAAAATTAGGTATCCTTGACAAAAACAAATTAAAGATGGAGTTTCCATAACAGGTTGAAATTAAGACCAGGAAAACAGGATCTTCAAGCTTCTTGTCACTTCTCATAAAGACAGGTTGCCCTTTGATTTCTGTCAGTGTTTTTAGATGAGAAAAAGTAAGTCTAGGTTATAAAACAATGGTAAGCAACAGCTGTGAGAAACTATTGGATGGAGCTAGTTGGCTTTTTGGTTTTGTTTTTCATATGTTCAGGACTTTTCACAAGGTTTTCTAATCAAATAGCATATCAACAATGTCTTGCCAGCTCATTCTCCATTCTGTTTTTCAACTTTAGCTTTGCTTGTGTGCCAATTCAATCATGGCTTCAAACACAATTAAACTTCCACAATACAGATTAATCTGTGTAGAGGCAGTTGAAATCCCACTATTTTAGAGCAGTTGAAGTTAGGCTTAAATATAGCGATCTAGTTGCTATACGTGAGCTCACCCCCAGGTATTTTGATAGCTTTCTCTTGATTAATTTTCCTTTGGAGAATTTTACCTTGTTAAAAAAAAATCTTATACTTTCAAAGAACCATTCAGTCTTTGCAATATGTGAATGATTAAATTTCAAATTTCTTCTGCATGATCTATTCTGAGAAAAATAATTAGTTTCTACTCCTCTGCCAACCTCCTAATACAACCTTTGAAGGTAGAATACCTTGTATTTGCTTACCTCTCATAGCCAAACTTGCAACTCTGTAGAGCAAAAGGTTAGGAGATGGCCAGAATTGCCTAACAAACTACTAAGAGGACTCCTTATGTAAGCCTGTTGATTAGGCTGTCAATCAAGCTGTTGTTGCCAGACAATTAAGTGCAATGTATGCTTTATGCAAGGCTAATCACCACTTGGAATTATAAATATTTCCAAGATGAATTGAATACTTCACATGCTGTTCCCATTTTATTGTTCTATATAAAGACTGCTATGGTCATGGAACTGCTGTGTTCTGAAAAGTAGAACATCAGCAATGTTCTGTTAGATACAGAGCTGTAGCTTAGAGTTGCTATCATCTTACAGGTTTTGTTTGTGAAGACCTAGATTCTGTCCTAGATATAGGTAAAAATGTTTTGAAATCAGGCTTCAACTCTGGTAACTTCATGCACATATCCATGCATTTTTCATGGCAGTGTTTCAGAAGTAGTTCATTCCTGCCTCCTTTTGGTATTCCTTTATCTCTCCTCTAATTATCTGTCAGCCATAGGTGTCCCAATGGTCTCTTAACTAGAAAGTGTTTCTCAACCTTGACAATTTTAAGGCATGTTTTATCAGGTTCGCCTGATTCACCAGTTGCGGCCTTTTCTGGACCGGGACGCCTTACACACAGTCACTCATGCTCTTGTCACCTCCCGCCTGGACTACTGTAACGCTCTCTACGTGGGGCTCCCTTTGAGGAGCACCCGGAGGCTTCAAATGGTCCAGAATGCGGCCGCGCGGGCGGTGTTGGGAGGGACTCGTCGCTCCCATGTGACACCGCTGCTGCGCGAGCTGCACTGGTTGCCAGTGGCCTTCCGGGTGCGCTTTAAGGTGTTAGTTACCACCTTTAAAGCGCTTCATGGCATAGGACCCGGTTANTGGAACGAACTACCCCCCGAGATTCGGATAATTCCGGATCTCCTTACCTTCCGTCGCGCCCTCAAGACATGGCTCTTTCAGCAAGCGGACCTGACCTAGGGTGGATTTTATACTGGGTTTTTTAGGAATTTGGAAGACGCAACTTTAAATTTGGTTTAATTCAGTTTTAAGGGGGGGATTGTATATATGTTTTGGTTTTTAAGTATGTTGTGCGCCGCCCTGAGTCCCGTCGGGAGAAGGGTGGCATATAAATTAAATTAAATAAATAAATAAATAAATAAAATAAATAAATGTGGACTTCAACTCCCAGAATTCCACAGCCAGCAATGCTGGCTGTGGAATTCTGGGAGTTCAAGTCCACATGCCTTAAAATTGTCAAGGTTGAGAAACACTGAACTAGATACACTACAGAGCTGTTCTTGCTTAGCTTCTGAAATCAGCCAAGGTAAAATAACTGCTGTTACCTACTAAGACTTTGTAAAGGTAAGTGAGAAAGGCCTTAAGAGATTGGGCAAAAAGTCACTGCCACAGGTACAGTCAGATAAGACACAGCATAACCTGCAATAGGATTATGGGCAGGGCAAGAGACTCGGAAGAGACATCCTAGTTTCTCAGATGATAAAGGAGGTGAGGAAGGATTGTACTTTCAGATTGCAAGATTCTGTCAATGTAGCTTTACAACAAAGTAGAATTAGCTCATCAGGTCAGATTCCTACCTGGTTTGCCCAGTGAGGACAATATCTTGCAAGTCTGAATCCAGCTGCAGGTTATACTGTCTCTTATCTGCCCATTCCCTTGGCAGCATCTGTTTGCCCAGTCTCCCAAGATCTTTCCCAACACCAATTACAGACTCAGGCCCTAGTAATTTGCAACAGAAAGATCTGGGGGAAAAATGTGAGACCTCAGAAAAAGCACTGCAAGGTAAAGGTAGATGGTGCATATTGGTTAATTCAGGTATGTGTATTCCAGTAAACACATCTGTATTTCAGTGTAAAAAGGTTGTAAAGGAGCATTGTGTTTTGACTTTTTCCTTTATCTTAAACATCTTTAAATAGATCAAACCCAAAAATGGGCGTTATAAGATTGACTCAGATGTGCTTCTATTTCCTTGGAAGCTAACCTACAGAAATATTGGGACTGATTTTATTCCAAGGGGAGCTTTTGGGAAAGTATACTTGGCACAAGATACAGAAACCAAAAAGCGGATGGCTTGCAAGCTGGTAAGATTTCTTAATTATCTTTGGTAATGCCTGTGACATGTTGGGCCTTCTCTATAATGCTGAAATAGATGAGACTATTTGTCCCTTTATGATAGGAACAAGCATTTTGTAAATGTAGTTACTCCAACATGCATACGGTTGACTCAAGTTTTGAAACTCTATCTAAGTAGGACATATCCATTTTTCTTCTTCTTTGGAAGAGACTCCATGTATACATCACCAGCAAATGCTGAAGTGTCACATATGTGAGATGGGTGGATATATAAATTTCATAGATAAATGTAATTATGGTAACAACCATCTGGAGGTGGATAACTATGCTGAAACTAATTAAGTCTGGCCAGGATAAGAAAGAATATCACTTGAATAGTCTTGGTTTGCCAATGAGAGATCCATGGAGGAAAGATAGAATAGCATTAGAAGAATGAGTCAACCAGAGCTTAATGCCCTTTGGGATGGGATGGGATGTTCTAAGCATTCTATCATAAAAAGAATAGGAAGCTTCTGCATAGGTAAACTTATATACTGATGACGGCATTCATGTGGTTTAAAAAGACATATCTACTAACTCCTCCTATATAGGTTTTCTAAAGAATATGAGTTCTGCCACTAATCCCTCAGTCCTATAGTAGAAATATATAGAAAGATTTTTATTTCTAATACTTTGCCTGAGTTGCTGTATTAAAGCAGTAATTTCTATCAATAGTCCACAATCCTGATGTCATCCCCTTCTTCCTGCTAGATACTCCATCATTCTCTGGCAAAGTTGTTAAGAAGATGGGTGAAGATCAAAGAAAGCTGGGCTTTCTCTGTCTATTATTGAGAACAAAGGGAGATTCCCCCTCCCTATTCTAGCTATAAATATGCTGAATTGGTTGGGGTCAGTTTGCTCCCCAGCATCAAAAAAAGACTTAGCTTTTCCTTGGGACTCAAGAGAGGAAGGTTGAGATTGAATGGCTTTCTGGATCTGCTTTCTTGTGGGTTTTTTTCCAAGTTAGATTTCCAGATGATTATGTGAACATGGGGTAGTATTCCACCATATAGATCATCAAATTAAGCTTTGCAGGCATTCTAGCAGAACAGTCTTTGCTTGGACAGTATAATTTAATCAGCTTATGTTTGGCATTGTAGGTCCCAGTGGAGCAGTTCAAGCCATCAGATGTTGAAATCCAAGCCTGTTTTCGCCATGAAAATATTGCTGAACTTTATGGAGCTGTCTTATGGGATGAGACAATCCATCTCTTTATGGAGGCAGGAGAAGGAGGCTCTGTGCTAGAAAAGATAGAAAGTTGTGGGCCTTTGAGAGAATTTGAAGTCATCTGGCTGACAAAACATATTCTCAAAGGACTTGAGTTTCTTCACTCAAAGAGAGTTATTCATCAGGATATCAAACGTAAGTTTGCATAGTCCTTATACTGTACAATATAAACTATATTCAGGATAACCCCAGCTTCTTTTAAGGTTATTTGGAGGTTATTTATTTACTGAAAATTACTTGGATTTCTGCACCCTAGGGACAAGGGATATCCAATTTATCTTTTATTAATACATTTTCATCTGCAGTGAGTAGATAATAAAGTAGAGAATGTTTTAAGGACAATATGTTATGTGGAAATGAAACGAGGTGAATGCTAGATGGGCTCCATGCACTGCAATCCTAACTATGATTGCTCTGAAGCAAGTCCCATTAAATTCAGGAATCTTGTTCACATAAGTAAGCATAGGAAAGTTGGGATGGCTGAAACTCTTACTGGGCTTAGTCAGCAGCCAGAAGCTTGCTAGCCTACTGTTAGTTTGGAGGTCTGCAAATTCCCACTGATATATAGATTTGCTATTAAAGAACATTATGAAGTTTTTTTTCCTTCCCATACATTTATGTTGTAACCCCTTGAAAAGAATAGAGTGATGCAGTCAGGATTAAACATTCTGAGAATGGAGGCATATGTCTTCTGTTTTAATTGGACAAATTCTGGACTCATGCCTACCACTAAACCATGTCTTGCCCAGCCATGATTTTATATTTACTTAACTATGACTTTATCCTTTAAACCTGACAACAAACACATGTTACAAACACAATTGGCTAATTTTACACAAAATACTATAGGCCAAAATCAAATAAACCACATTATGGCGTAGCATAAAGTGTGCAGTGGAAGTGTTGTTATTCATGAATGACTGATGACAAAAACAGGAACACTGAAGTTGGAACTGATCTCTCCTTTCTCTCATCTGCAAGAATTACTTTCTCTGTCCTTTGGACCCCCTGGTTGAATGTTACAAACATCTAGCATTCCTGGAGGGTATTGAGTTGCTCTGGATCATAAGGTTTAGGCCAGGGGTAGGCAACCTTGGCTCTTTTATGACTCGTGGACTTCAACTCCCAGAATTCCTGAGCCAGCCCTGCTGGCTCAGGAATTCTGGGAGTTGAAGTCCACGAGTCATAAAAGAGCCAAGGTTGCCTACCTCTGGTTTAGGCAGATGCTTGCAAAGGAGTTTAATTGCATGAAAGGCCTCTGTTCAAAATTCGGTAATATTTGGCATGGGGTGGGAGGGGATATCTGTCATTGTAGTGTTGATTATCCCAAAGAACTTCATTTCCTGAAATTTATCCAAAAACTCCAAATGTACAAGTCTGCTCTAGAGTACAGATTTTCCTTGACTTTTTACTGTAATAGGTTCGTAAATCATTGTGGTCGTAAGCTGAGGCATCACATGACCAGATCTATTTTTTTTTACTCTTTTTTTTTTGAGGCAGCTGCTAAACAAATGCTTTAGTCATTTAAGTTAATCCATTTTCTCCCTTTGGCGTTGCTAGAAACTGGAAGTAAATAGCAGAAAACCAGCAAAAAAAGATTGCAGATTGAATGATGACGAGATGTGAAAATTACCACAAATGCTGACTGATTGCCAAGCACATAACTTGTGATCATGGGATGGGTGTGCACCCATCATAACTTTGAAAATAGATAATTAAGTGACTGGTCTTAAATTGAGAGTTATCTATACTTAAAAGGGCATTTCCAGACCCAGAAAAAGAAAAGTTCTATGAAGAGAATTTCTTGTTTTTTATGCCTCCCTGTCCCTTCAGAGGCTTTTCTCTCTCTCTCTCTCTCTCTCTCTCTCTCTCTCTCTCTCTCTCTCTCTCTCTC